CCTTTTTGCAGCAGAACTCCTTGAAAGGGTTGTCTATTTTGCTCTCTCCATTTTTTCTTCTCTCATGTGCTCTGTAAGCCCCCTTCAATCTAGCTTTTACCCCAGTCACTCCACCAAAGCTGCTCTTACCAAACTGCAGAATACAAAGGCCAATTGTCATTCTTCGTCATTCTTGATCTATCAGTATCACTTGTCACAGACGTTCACTCTAACCTTCTGAGAATACTTTGCTCACTTGGTTTCTAGGACACCACATTCTCTTGGTTTTCTTTCTCTTCTGTCTATTCTGCTACTTTCTCCTCTTTTCCAAATCTCATAGTGTTTAAATGCCACAGGGATCAGACCCTGGCCTCTTCCATAATTAGACTTACTACTTAGTAGTCTCCATCTGTCGAGAAGTCCTACTGATTATAAGTCAAAATATATTCTGAGTTTGACCACTTAGGACTACCTGAATTGCTACTACCCTGGTCTGGGCTGTCATCATCCCTCACTGGAACTACTCCAACAGCTTCCTACCTGGTCTCCCTATCTCCACCCTTTCACATTCTCAACAGAGCAGCCAGAGTGATGATTTTAAAATGTTACATTAGATGCAGTCACTTCTCTGCTGAAACCTGGCCGAAAATGGTTCCCTAATTTTATTCAAAGAAAAAGCCAAAATCCTTCCAATGGCCTATGCAAAGCCTCCAAATCTGCCCCACTTCCACCTCCCACTTACCCTCTGACCTTCTCTTCTACTGTTCTTCCTTGCTCTTCTCTCTTGCTTGCTCCTTTTGAGCCATACTGGCCTCCCGTTACCCCTTGGACACACCAAGCACACTGCTGCCTCAGGGATTTGCATTTATGCTTCCCTCTCCCTGGATAATCCCCATTCTTCCTTATCGACATGACTGTGCTTTCAAGTCTGTGCTCAAATGCCAGCGAGGCCTTCTCTGACTGCTCCATTTCATGTTGCAATCAGCTCCCATGCCTCCCAATCCACCAGCCTTGCTTTATTGTTTACACAGCACTCATCGCTATCTAATCTACTACATAATTCAGCTATTTTGTTTCTCTCTCCCAAACTAGAATGCAAAAGAGTACAGATTTTTGCCTATTTTCTTCATTGCAGTTTTCTTACTACATAGCAGTGTGTGACAAGTAGTTGGTTTTCAATAAAGATTTCTTGAAAGACTGAATGAATGAATAAGTGAATGTAAGAAACAGAAAAGAGAAGGCAAGAAAAATAACAAAAGAATAAAGGGGAAAAAGGGAAGAAAAGGAAAGAAACTGGTCAAGGTAATGTAACAATTAATATGGCACAGCTGGCATTGTAAATCAGATTTGCTTAGCTTCAAGGCCCATAACAGCCTATCATAGCATCAGTCAAGATGCTGTTAGCTGAAACAAATATTTTTAGAATGAAAACAAGCTCATTAAGCAGTAGCATAAAAAAGAAAAAAAAATAAGCAAAAGAGGGAAGCAGACATCTTTTCTGAAATACAATGTGTTCAGTCAGAACTATTTATTTAGAATCCGACTACAAATAGTGCATTTTTCAAAACTATAAACACGTATATAGTTATCTTTAAAATACTTTAAATTAACAACAAATTTGAAAGGACTGAATAATTCTGCTTTCGGCGAAGATGGATTTAACCTTTTGCCTAAACCAACCTTCCTATCCCCAATAACAACAACAACAGTACAAAATACGTGAGAGAGTGGTTTATAAGACGCTGGACATCAGGCAAAGGAGAGTGATCCCTGAGAGACAAGTGACAAATGAGGTGAGACATGTGAATGTTCCAACTAATGCCTTGAGAGAATCTCTACTCCCCAGCACACTGAGGGGAAACCCAGGTGTGGCCCTGCAACATCTTTCAGTTGAGTAGGTCAAGCCGAGAGTCCCCAAGAAGAGTTCCCCACAGAGAGAACTCCAAAGGTCTGCAGAGGAATCCGTCCCCTGAGCACTCATGAGAGTGCTGACAGGCTCACGTGTGAGGGAAAACCATCAGAGGCCCCAGAAAGAACTGTCTGAGAGGCTGAGAGAGAACACTGCCTGGTGCTTACACAGAGCCAGGAATGGTGCCTGTTCCTTCTGGTCAGGCCAAAAATCTCAGAATTCATAGGGCATTGAGTAGAGTACTCAGAAGTGGGAAGTAACTAGACCCAGACTGAGAACTGTTTCAGTCATGAAGGCAAGGCCCAAATGGATCAAACTGTTTCCAAGTAACTTACCTGCATCCCAGAGCAAAGCTAAAGAAAACCTAAAGTAACCCAAAAATATGTGGTGCTCAAGGTAAAACTGGCAATGTCTAGCAACCAAAGACTGTCAGACACGTACATAAATAGGAAAATGTGACCAAAACTGAGGAAAAACATTAACCAATCAAAACCAATCCCAGAACTGACAGAAACGCTGGAAATCAGCAGACGTTGACATTAAAAATTATCACAACCAGATTCCAGATGTTCAAAAGGCTAAGTAAAGACATGGAAGGCATAAAAAAAGGTCCTAGTCAAGTTTATAGAAAAGAATACTACAATGTTTGAGATGACCACTACACTGGTTGGGATTAATAGCAGAAGAAAAGATTCATGAATTTAAAGACATAGAGCAACTACTCAACATGAAACAGAGAGAGGAAAAGGAATTTTTTAAAAATGGAAAAGAGCATCAGTGAGCTGCGAGGCAATTTCAAGCAGCGTAATATATGTTTGACTGGAATATCTGAAGGAAAAGAGAGAGGGGTGGAAAAGAGAGAAAAAAGTTAGTTAGAAAATAATGGCTGAAAAATATCCAAATTTGATGAAAACAGTATAGTCACACATTCAAGAAGCTCAATGAACACCAAACATAAGAATCATGAAGAAAACCACACAAAGGCACATCATAATCATAGTGTTGAAACCGGTGGTAAAGAGAAAAACCTTAAAAGCAGCCAGAGAAAAAAGGCACACAGGAATAAAGAAAAAAATGACAGTAGATTTTTGTCAGAAACAGTGCAAATGAGAAGACTGTAAAGCAACATCTTTAAAGTACTGAAAGAAAAGAAGTCCATCTAGAATTCTATACCTAGTACAGATACCTTTCAAAAACAAAGACAACATAAAGACTACTTTGCACATATAAAAGCTGAAATATTTCATCACTAGCAGATCTGTGCAATAAGAAACACTGAAGAAAATCCTTCAGACAAAAGGAAAATGACATTAGATAAAAATATGTACATCCATAGGAATGCAGAAATAGTAGCTACATTGATAAATAGATTTAACTTACAGAAAAATATGGATATCTCTTTAAAAGTTAATTGTTGAAAGAAAAAGGTAGCTACACTGATAAATAGATGATTTTGAAAAAATATGAAAATGTCTTTAAAAGATAATTGTTTAAAGAAAAATAACACTGTATTGTGTTTTATAAAATAGGTATAAATAAAATATGACAACAAGAACATAAAGGCCAGGAGGGGCAAAAGAGAAGTACACTCATGTAAGGTTCTTTCTTTCTTTCTTTTTTAATTGAGATGAAGTCTCATTCTGTTACCCAGGCTGGAGTGCAGTGGCATGATCTCAGCTCACTGCAACCTCCGCCTCCGAGGTCAAGTGATTCTCCTGCCTCAACCTCCCTGGTAGCTGGGATTATAGGCATGCACCACCATGCCTGGCTAATTTTTGTATTTTTAGTAGAGATGGGTTTCACCATGTTGGCCAGGCTGGTCTTGAACTCCTGACCTCAGGTGATCTACCCACCTTGGCCTCCCAAAGTGCTGGGATTACAGGTATGAGCCACCGCGCCTAGCCAAGGTTCTATTATACGTGAAGTGGTATTACCTGAAGGTAGACTGTGTACACTTGTATATGAATGTTCATAGTAACTTATGTATGACAACCGAAAACTGAAACCAACCCAAATGTCTATCAATAAATAAATGAATGAATAAGCAAACTGGGATATATTCATATAATACTTGCAAGAAAAAGAAATACTTCGATATATACAATAAAATGGATGAATCCCAAAATAATTATACTAAAGGAAAGAAGCTAGACCAAAAAAAAGAATATATCCTGTATGATTACATTTGAATATATTCTATATAATTACATTTATATAAAACTCCAAAAGATACAAACTGATCCACAGTGACAAAAAACAGATCAGTGGTTGTGTGGGTGTCAGATGGGACAAGAGAGTTACAAAGAGGGAACAAAGAAACTTCTGGAAGTGATGGATATTTTTATTGTGGTGACGGTTTCACAAACGTGTCAAAACTTATTAAATTGTACACATTAAATATGTGCAGTTTATTACATAAGAATTATTCTTCAATAAAGCTGCTTAAAAATACTTTTGGACTTTAAGTTGAGAACAAAAAGATTTAGATAATTACAGTGCTCTGGTTCCGCACAGTAAAAATAAATAGATGTTTTAGGTGAAAGCTAGAATAGCATATTTAAATTTTCTGTAAAGTTAGAATGAATCATAAACACCAATCAAACACTTTCTCATTAGAGAGTCCCAGCGTGGTTTGGTGACTTGCCTGAAGTCTTACAGCTATGGTGAATACTTCACTAAACTGTAAGAGCCACAGTAACAGAGACTGTGCTATTTAGGTCACCAGAGTATTCCCAACACCTAGTACGATACCTGGGACGTAGTAGAAGCTTAATAAACATTTGCGGACTAATCTTTCCTATGGAAAGAAAGGTAAAAAGGATGATCAAAAGAAAGAAAATATCCTTTGCAATATGACTAAAAGTTCCTCCATATATCTTATTCTCCAATCTCTAACAGAGACAACAGAATTAAGTAGTACCTTTAATACAACAAATACAAGGAAATAAGTTAATTTCCTATTTTAGCTTACTGAAAACTTTATTCTAACACTTAAAATTTTTTCACTCATATTACCAACACTTAAATAAGAAGAAAATTAATAGAAAATACCCTATTCATGCAGATTAATGAATTTTTCAAATTAATAGAAAATTTCAAGGAAAAGGCTTACCAAAAATTTCTCCATTTTTGGCATATTCTGTCACAAGGTACAACATGCTTTTGGTCTCCATTACCTATTGATAAACAATTCCATATTAGTCTGACAGAAATGTACTGTAATTTTCCATAATATTCTATGGAGTTACCTAATTGAAACTACTAATAAAAGAATCACAGTTATGAACAATTCGGAAGATGGCTAAGTTTATAAGCCTGATAATATCCTTATGATTAATATGTTTGTGAAAAACTGAAATCTTTGCTTTTGTAAGTGTGGTTCATGGACCAGCAGTGGTAGCACTACTCAACCACCTGTCAGAACTTCAGAATTCCAGGCCCCATCCCAGACAAGCTCAATTGGAATTTATATCTTAACAAAATTGCCCAGTGATTTTTATGCACATTAAAGTTTAAGAAGTATAAGTATAGATAAGAGGAGTTTTGAAGATCAACTTTTCAACATCTCTTCACTGACTTCTCTAGTTCTATGTTATCATGGTAGATTCTGATTAAAAGAAGAAGAGAATAATTTAGTTCACCTGGCCTGTAGCCTAGCTAATCTGGCACAATGCGACATTCCTCCTACTATACTTTAATAATGTTACAAAGTACTCTAATTTAAAAACATTGTTCAAAAGTTTCATATCATAGCTCTACTGTTAAATACTTTTATTTAAATTCATTTTTCTAGATTCAGAAGGGAGTGTATTATCGTCATAAATTTGATTTTTCAAACTACACTAAATAGATATCTATTTAAAAAGAAAGTAAGGCCAGGCATGGTGACTCATGCCTATAATCCCAGAACTTTAGAAGGCCAAGGCAGGCAGATCACTTGAGGTCAGGAGTTCGAGACCAGCCTGACCAACATGGTGAAACCCTGTCTCTACTAAAAAAAATACAAAAATTTGCCAGGTGTAGTAGTATGTGCCTGTGATCCCAGCTACTTGGGAGGCTGAGGTGAGATAATTACTTGAACTCGGGAGGCAGTGGTTGTAGTAAGCTGAGATCACACCATTGCACTCTAGCCTGGGTGATGGAGCAAAAGTCTGTCTCAAAAAAATAGATATCTATAAATAAATAAAAAGAAAGAGAGTGTTTAGATTCAAGATGAACAATTTTTAGAGTGCTTCTCTGTAGCACTCTAACTGCTATCTACTGAAAGAAAGAAAATTAATTTTGTTCTAAGGTGTAGGTTTAAGACTATTCTCCATGAGGCCAGCAAAGTAAGAACTACCTACAATGTGGGCCTAAACAAATCAGTAAATCAACTATCACCAATCAGTTCCCTCAAACAGAAAGAATTATTATGTGAATTATGTTAGTTTGATCCTCAGTTTAGTTTATGGTTAATCAGAGACGTTGAAGAATATAATTAGTTTCTCAAAGTATCTTCTTTAGGATTAAAAAAAAAATGGCTAGGCATGGGTGGCTCATTCCTGTAATTCCAGCATTTTGGGAGGCCAAGGTGGGAGGATCACTTGAGCTCAGGAGTTTGAGAACAGCCTGGGCAACACAGTGAGATCCTGTCTCTGCAAAGAATATAAAAAAATTAGCCAGGTAAAGTGGCATGCGCCTATAGTACCAGCTACTTGGGGAGGGGCTGAGGCAGGAAGATCACTTGAGTCTATGAGTTTGAAGGTGCAGTGAGCTATGATTGTGCCACCTCACCCCAGGATGGGTGACAGAGCAAAACCTTCTGTCAAAAAAAAAAAACAAAAAAGGTAATAATTTTAAAGTTTAAAGGGAGAAGTAATCAGAATTATTTATTTATTTATTTTTAGAGATGGGATCTCTGTGTTATCTGGGCTGAAGTACAGTAGCTATTCACAGGTGCAATCGTGGAGTACTACAGCCTGGAATTCCTTGGCTCAAGAGATCCTCCCACTTCAGCCTCCCTAGTAGCTGGGACTACATGTCACTGCACTGGGCTAATGTGATATAAATTTTGACCTAAGAGGCCTCTAGGTTTTAGAATTTTTAGGAAATGCTTTGCATGGCACATCATAGTCTCTCATTCTCAGGAGGCATATCATAAACCAATGGTCTTCACATTTTTAAAATTGAAAATCTCTATCAATAAAAGTTGTTTACAGCAGGGGCTGCCAACCAGGCCATACTGTGAAGCTTCATCTGTATTTACAGTTGCTCCCCATTGCTCGGATTACCATCTGAGGTCTATCTCCTGTCAGATCAGCAGTGGCATTAGATTCTCATCAAGTGTGACCCCTATTGTGAACTGCACATGTGAGGGATCTAGGGTCTGTACTTCTTATGTGAATCTAATGCTGAGGTAGAAAAATCACCTTCCACGAAACTGGTCCCTGGTGCCAAAAAAGTTGGAGACTGCTGCTTTAGAGGCAAGCACACTGTCATACACTTGCAGTCCTAGCTGAAGCAGGGGGATCCTTTGAGCCCAGGAGTTCAAGGCCAGCCTAGGCAACAATAGTGAAACCCTCTCTCTAAAAAAAATAAAATACAATAAACATGATTCCTATGGGAATCCATGAAAAACAAAGTTGCCAGCTGAGCGCGGTGGCCCACGCCTGTAATCCAAGCACTTTGGGAGGCCAAGGTGTGTAGATCACCTGAGGTCAGGAGTTTGAGACTAGCCTGACCAACAAGGTGAAACCCCATCTCTACTAAATATATAGAAATTAGCTGGGTGTGGTAGCAGGCACCAGTAGTCCCAGCTGCTTGGGAGGCTGAGACAGGAAAATCACTTGAACTCAGGAGGTGGAGGTTGCAGTGAGCCGAGATTCCCGCCGCTGCACCCCATCCTGGGTAACAGAGCGAGACTGCCTCAAAACAAATAAAAAACAGTTGCCAAATATATATGTGTATATATATACACACACGACATATATAGTGACACATGTATATTTACATACACACTATATACATGTGCCACTACAAAATGTTACGTATATTATAAAATACACACAAGAAAACAAATATAAAAAATAAACATAACTAGAGGTTTAATATTTTCTTCTTATACTCCCAAGGACATTTGTGCTAATCCATTTGAATGCACATACTGGTGTGCCAGTAAACCAGCTTTCTGACAAAAAATAAAAAGGCCCTGATTGGTAAGCCAATTACTGTGATGTAAATATTCCCACGAATGAGCATTCCAAGCTACTAACAGCATGTTAATTGACTTGCAAAGCTTCTGAAAGTTTAACAATCAACTCTCAACAAGCCGGTACAGGCTGAGTCCAGCATACTATGAGTGTACACATCACACTCTGGAGATCAAAGTCATAAGCCAGGATACTAGAACTTTTCAGTTTAAAAAGAGTTTTTCAACAGAAAAATTCTGCATGTTAAGAAATAATTTTTTTCAACATTTTGTACTATATTATCCTTCTTAAACATGAATTACTCTTTAAAAATCTGAGAAAAATGTTCCTTTAAAAAACCATGGATGGTTGGTGGGTACACTGAAAACCCAGACTTCACCACCATACAATATAGCTGCGTAATGAAACTGGACGTGCACACCCTAGAGCTGTGAAAAACAACAAAAACCCTGAGGGCTTACACTTTAAAATGGTGCATTTTACAAAAATTATTATAACAAAGTTGATTTTTTAAAAAACAGAAAATTTATTTTCTCTACTAAGCCAAATAACTAAATAAATGTAGTCATATCTATTACAAAGTATGCCACTGAATAATAAACTAGTTTAGCCATTGTATTTTCATAAAACATATTCTTTTTAAATAAGCAAACTGCCATATCCTCATTAGGCAGCAGCACCAAAACCCTGCAGTTAAAATGCAGGGTATCATAAATATACAATTGCAAACTTCTTTTTTTTTTTTTTTAATTAAAAAAAATTTTTTAAATTTATTTATTTTTGGTAGAGATGGGGTTTCACCATGTTGCCAGGCTTGCCTCAAGCAATCTTCCTTCCTTAGCCTCCCAAAGTATTGGGATTACAGGCATAAGCCATCATGCTTGGCCCACATGGCAAACTTTTAAAACAACTTGCGGTCTGTGAGATAACTTAGGATTTCTGATTTTTAAGTTTAAAGACAATATAGAAAAAATGGATGTACTCTGTTACAAAAAGCATACATTTATTTTCTTTCATTGATTGGAAAAACAAATATAAGAAGAAAAATCATGATACAAAGTAGAGAACTATTTTGTGGAATGAATGGAGACAGTGTCAGGCTGAGACATACCTGATAAAGTTTGATTATGTGAGGGTGGTCTAACAGTTTCATTATTTGTACTTCTCGGTAGATTTTCTCAAGGTTCACTGCATCCAGCTGAGACTTATCGATTATTTTTATGGCCACCTGCATCCCAGAACACAAATAAATACAATTAGTATAGAAAAGTTAACATTTTCTAGTTAAGAACCCTGTCAATAAGTGACATGAGATTTCACCTGTAGGTTCCTGACCCTGATGCTAGCTAGTTTAAATTCAATGCTCATTCATTCAACAAATATTTCTTAAACTAATACCACGTGTAAGGCAGTGGATGTTGTTTGGCAGTGCCTTCAGTGTGCTATGAAAAATAACTGCAAAGTTACTTTAAGTAAACATGTTTCTCTTTCAGTACTATGGTAATGTCTTTTTACTCCTGTACAAACTGAAAAAATGAAATCTTCATTTTATTAAATTAGAAGCCATATCAACTAGTTATCATCCCACTGTAAAATACCTATAAGCAAATAATCAGCAAAGTAGAAGACAGTTCAGAAGATAGTTTCTGTTGCAGTGAAATACTATTTTCCTAGAAAAGCAAGTGATAAGTTTCAAAGAATACAGACAAAAAGCTGAATATAAAATATTGAAACTCAGCCAGACTCAGTGGCTCACACCTGTACTCCCAGCACTTTGGGAGGCCAAGGCAGGCGGATCCTGAGGTCAAGAAATTGAGACCATCCTGGTCAACATGGTAAAACCATGTTTCTACTAAAAATACAAAAATTATCTGGGCATGGTGGCACATGCCTGTAGTCCCAGCTACTTGGGAGCCTGAGCCAGGAGAATCATTCAAACTCAGGAGGCAGAGGTTGCAGTGAGCCAAGCTCGCACCACTGCACTCCAGCCTGGCGACAAACTGACACTACGTCTCAAAAATAAAAAATAAATAATTTAAAAAATTAAAACTCACTATATGAAGAAATACCAATTGGATTTTCTTTTAAAAATTGAAGTGCAAAAACTAAAATGTTAGTAACTACACTAAAATTTAACTTTGTAAAAGGAATTTTATTTCAGAAATTCCAAGGTTCATAATTTGAAGGTAAATGACTAAGTAGGCAGAAATCAATGATTACATACTTTTTTCATGCAATTAAAAAGAACTAATTTATTAAAATTAGTAGATATTTGGTTGGAAAATGTTCTGATTTAAATAAATTTTCAGATAATTGAGAATCACCCAAATTTAATTGTAAGTTCTGAAAAAACCCTAAAATGTACTTCAAATTATATCAAAAGGTATTCTAAACATAATTTAGCCTTATGTTATTGTTTCAGGGTAACAGGTTTTTTTTTTTAATAGAGATGGGGGTCTCTTTATGTTGACTAGGCTGCTCTTGAACTCCTGGCTTCCCTTCTCAGCCTCCCAAAGTACTGAGATTACAGGGCTGAGCCACGACACCTGGCCTCAGGATAACTTTTATGTATTTATTTATTTATGAGATGGAGTCCTGTGCCCAGCTGAGGATAACTTTTAACATCAGCAATTGCACATGCTATGATAGCTCAATGCTTCCAAAAGGTATCCAAGAAAATAGGACTCAGCTTGCCATTTCACATAATTCCTGCAGTCTCTCGTTTACACAATTACAGTTAACCCTGAACAACATGGGTTTGAACTGCATGGGTCCACTGATACACAGATTTTCTTCCACCCCTAAGACAGCAAGACCAACTTCTCTTCTTCCTCCTCCTCCTCCTCAGCCTACTCAACGTGAGGATAATAAGGATGGAGACCTTTATGATGATCCACTTAATAAGTAACAAATATTTTCTCTTCCTTGTGATTTTCTTAACATTTTCTTTTCCCTAGCTTACTTTATTGTAAGAATGAAGTATATAATGCATGTAACATACAAAATATGTGTTAATGGACTGTTTATGTTATTGGTAAGGCTTCCAGTCAATAGTAGGTTATTAGTAGTTAAATTCTGGTGGAGTCAGGCTGGGCACACGCCTGTAATCCCAGCACTCTGGGAGGCCGAGGAGGGCTGATCATTTGAGGTCAGGGGTTTCATACCAGCCTGGGCAACATGGTGAAATCCAGCCTCTACTAAAAACATCAAAATCAGCCAGGCATGGTGGCAGACACCTGTAATCCCAGCAACCTGAGAGACTGAGCCAGGAGAATCACCTGAACCCAGGAGGTGGAGGCTGCAGTGAGCCAAAATCAGGCCACTGCATTCCAGTCTGGTCAACAGAGTGAGATGCCGTTACAGGAAAAAAAAAAAAAATTGGGGGGAGCAAAATATTATACTTTCAAGTACATGAGGTGGTCAGTTCTCCTAACCTCTGCCTTGTTCAAGGGTCAACTGTAATTTTTTTCTTCTTTCCTTGTGGCCACTCTATCCTTTGCTATTATCTCCTAAAGCTCTATTAAGTTTAATTTCTTACCTTTCTCTGTTTCTAACTTGCTGCCCACAGGTTGTTTCCTGATTTAATTGTAGAACTCTCCAAGCTTCCCAGGGGAAATCCGATTACTAGTCAATGTATAAAATTAAATGTATTGCCTAAGAATATTATACTTTCAAATACAAAGCTTCTTCTCTAGGCAGTAAAGGACATGGGTTCTGTGACAGCTGTTTTCATTATGTTTGGTGGTGTTTTAATTATTACCACAGTCAAAATATTCTAGAAAGTAAAACTTTGACTGCTAGGTAAGTAGACTGATTAATACTATACTTCCCACTGGAAATATTATTGGACCACCTCAAACCTAAATATATTTAAAGAAACCCCCCTCAATTAAGAGTATGATACAGATCATTATTATCCGTTACTTTGGGTAACAGCTGCCAGATAAAAGCATAAATGTCTAATTGAATATGCTCAACCAACAAAATGCTTTTATAATGAGATGGGTCACAACCATGTAATAGAAAGAGACGGAGAGAAGAGATCACGGTTTTTGGAGGGATAGGAATCATGCAACAATTTTATACTGCACATATCTTGAGTATCATATTTAATGGGATTAAAGAATTTGGATACTAAATATCAATTAAAGCAAGGTATTACCCAGATAAATCTCCTTTTTCATACCCTTTTGGAACCTTGGCCTGAACAATGAAAAAGTGAAAAATATATGACATATAGTAAAAAGTTAAAAATGTTATCTAATTAAACTTTAATAATAAAAAATCATTACTTAACAAAATAACTCTCAAATGATATAATTCTTGCTTCAATTTTATCTTGGGTTACTGACTTTATCCATCTGTCTGTGACCATAAATATATATATATATTTATATTTACATTGCTATCCTTTATTTCTCAGGCTATTAGAACTATTATAAGAGGATTATACTTCTCTAAAGAAAAAACAGAGCAGGAATTAACATGTTCCTTGTAACACGAGTAGTCTAACCGCTTTACGAAATACACACTAAAACATACGATTCAAACTCAATACAAGCTTATTTCTTGCTCGTGTAGCAGAACTTGATGAATGAAGCTGGCAGGCATTTGACATTCAAAGAGGCCTTAATATCTTTAATGTGTGGCTTCCAAGGTTAACCTGAAGGTGGTCTCCATTCCAGCAAGACAGAAGGAAAAAAGAACTTTGAGGGATCCTCACAGGTGATTTTATGGGCAGGGCCTAGAAGTGGTGCCTATTATTTCTGTTCATTCCATTAGTTAGAACTCAGCATATGACCACACCTAAATGCAAAGGAGACACAGAAATTGTCCAGCTGTAGGCCCAGGAAGAAGAGGAAACAGTAGAGCTTTCAGTGATCAGCTAGCAGTCTCTGGCAAAGTCATTCAGGTAATTAACAATGGAGGTCTCTCTCAAGTACTTCCCAGAAATATGCGTAACACTAACAATGGCAATGACTTTCACAACTGCACAGCACTTTTAGAAATACTTTAAATTTTATCTCATTTATTTCCAAATTCTGTGAAGTAAATGGAACAAGCAGTATACTTGTGAGTTGATGAACCGATGTTCAAATAACGTCATATAATCTACAAAGGTCTTAAAACTCTATAATGAATTAAAGGAGAAAAACCCTAGGTCTTCTTCTAACTCCAACTTCGATCTTTTCACTATTTCAAAGCGTCTATTAGTAATACATTTACAGAGCACCTTCTGTGTGCCAGGAATTATGCCTGGGATATAAAAATATATGAGATTTGATTCCTAACCTCAAAGAATTTAATAGGTCTGTAAGAAGAGGATGAACACATTTTATCAACAAAACAATTTGTATTTGGGGATTTCCCCAAAGGTGCACTGAAAGTCCTTAATTTGCAAAAGGGTTGTGTTCCAATAGTTCATTTTAAGGATCAGAATAAACTTGGGTTTCTAGGAAGTTCCTCTCTTCATCCTCTCTTATTTAGTTCTGAACATAGTATAAGGGACAAAATCTGCATGGGAACAAGTAAGTAGGTCAAGAAAGGAACTCCACAAATGGAAAGGTCCCTTTTTTTGGTGGTGTTCATCTAATCAACTCTCTAATTACGTATGTCATCTTTAAAAAAACCTTCAATAAGTTTATATGATGGTACAAAAATGAATACCCTTTCTACTAAAGGACTGAAGAAAAGTTCCCTCTATAAACTGAAGAATACTAGGACAAACTAGAATGATCATTATCCAATTAAATCCCACATAAAGTAGCAACACTGAATATTCAACTTCAAAATACTCAGAGAAATATTAATTGAAAACAAAATACCACATTCACAAAGATTAAAAAATAACCTTGTCAGCTAAGGTTCAATGAGATGTTCATTTAAGATACTGTTAGAAGGAATATAAAATAGATTATAATTTTTCTGGGAAGCAATCCAGTAGTCTTTATTATAAACCTTAAAAATCATCCATTTCATGTAGCTTAAGGACTCTTCTTCTGAGAAATTATTTGAGGAAATAATCTGAAATGATGACAAAGATTTATGCGTACTTTTTTTTTTTTTTGAGGGTCTCGCTCTGTTGCCTGGGCTGTAGTGCAGTGGTATGATCTCAGCTTACTGGAACCTCCGCCTCCCAGGCTTAAATGATCCTCCCACCTCAGCCTCTTAAGTAGCTGGGACTACGGGTGTGCACCACTACACTGTGCTAATTTCTGAATATATGTA